TTTATCAATCTCATCTTTGGAGAAAGGCTGCTCCAGAAATGAAAGATCAGTAGTTCTGTCAATCAGAGAGTCCACCTCAAGGAGGTCGAATGTAGGTGTGGAAGTGCTAAGCCTTTTCTTGAAAGCATTAAGAAGAATACCAGCCTTTAGATTATGCTCCCTGCAAATATTACCATCTTCATCTTGCAAGTTGTCAATGTGGTTCACTCTGTATTTTAAAGTGGCCTTAGCTTGAAAAAACTTTGAATTTGCTTCTCCAAATTTGACCCATCTAATGGTGGCTCTCTACTGCCAATAAATCCTCTGCCACTCCAGAAGTTGTAACAGATGTTGTTTAAGAAAATTCCTGCCATTCCATTCCGAGGTAGATAAAGGCGTGAACTCTTCTACAGTACAAAGAAGAAGAATCACCGCATTAGAGTTTTTGATTGAGATGGTCAAATTAAAAATAGTTTTGGCCCAGATCTTAAGGCACTTTCTAAATCTCTTGAATTTAGCTGAAATTCTCTTGGCAGAATCAGTGATGTGAATATCCTGCTCCTAGCTTTGCTTGACAACTTCTTTGAAACCCTGCACTTGCATCCAGAAGTTTTCAAACCTGACAATCTTGGATTTGGGAATGTGTGTGCCAATTTGAATCATGCATGGAGTGTGATCAGAGATTGGTTTGGCAAGGGGCGGGACCAAAGTATTGGGGAATTCTGCGGTCCAACATTCTGAAGTAAAAACCCAATCCAATTTCTCTAACAAAGGGGCGTCTTGCATATTACTCCAAGTAAATTGTCTACCCTTCAAAGGGATTTCAACCAAAGCTAGGGCATTGATGGCCTCATTGAATTGCAACATCTCTGTGAAGTTTCCACCTTCTCTATTTCTATCAGTTGGAAATCTAACATAGTTAAAGTGTCCCATTATAATCCATTTGGTATCTGTAGGAATTTGAATATCTTTGAACCAATTCAGGAATTGAGCTCTTTCTGGTCCCTGACAAGGCCCATAAATATTGGAGTGAATGAAAGAATCTCCAAATAGAGTAGACGTAAAACGCACAGACATCGCTAAATCATTGTGAAATAGATGTTCACCTGTAAACAAAGAGCCATTCCAGGCAATAAGTAGCCCACCCGAAGCACCTACTGAAGGGAGGAACTCAAATTGATTAATTCTCCTAGGATAAAAGTTCTTGATGTATCTAGAGTCAAAGAAATCTCTTTTAGTCTCTTGAATGCAGATGATGTCAGCATTTGATTCATTGATTTTATTCCTCAAGGACAGCCATTTTTTAGGAACATTAATGCCCCTAATATTCTAGTTCAAAATACTCCAAGTCCTGTTTGTTTGAGGCATGGTGAAGTGTGTCTGCAAGGCTGATGTCGATGTTCATTGACTGCAAAGTGAGAAAGACTATGGCCAGCACAATGGCCCAAATTTTGGAAAGCCCACAGAGAAAAACATAATCAGATAGCATCCACAGTTGATCCATTACTGTCAGCCAAAACTTTAAAATGGGACAAGCTACCCAGCAACATTCATACACAGCACAGAAATCAGTGGAAATGGAACCATAATCCCAAAGAACTTTCCAGATCATGAAAGAAGGATAACTAAGATAATAGAGGATTGCAGCCAGCATATCTGATAAAGTTCTTACAATACTTGTACAAAAGGAGGTCCACACATCAAGGTTCCAGATTAAAGTAAACATCCCAGCTACAAAAGAGCTAAAACTCAGGTCCAGCATCATTACAAACCAGAATGAGCAGCAAGACTGCAACTAAAACTCTAGGGCCTGAAGATTGCAGGCTTCTTCTGCACTCCCTTGGCAGAGCTCTTAGTATCCTTCTTTTTCTTGGGCTGCTGAAGCATCTCCTCAGTGCAGTCCTTAACATTTGCCTTGCGAAAGGAAACAGAGATAGTTTTAATAACTCTTGAGGGTAAAGCATGCAGGTGGGTCAGTGCTGCAAGGGAGGCAATTTTATCTTTGCAAACTCTTCCTTTAAAACCTTTATTACCTTCTTGCAATCGGTAACTTCTTCGTACCTCAATGTCACAGATGGGAGCCTTGTCTTTCCTATTCTTCCGAGCATAAACAGCAGATGTGCTTGCCGATCGAGGTCATTGATCACCCCCTACACTGTTGTGCGTTGGAGTAGTAGGTTGGGCTGAGGAAACCTCCAGTTCCATGTTAAGCTGCTGACAAGTAGGAGTGTGACAAGAGATACATGAGTCAAGAAGTACAAAAGGAATGAACTTTTTGTTTATAGATCCTTCAATGATGTAATTCCAGAGTTGAGAAGATAATAGTGATTTAGCCCAGCTAAAGCTATCAGGTGTTAAAAGAGCAACAGTGACAAACTTAAACCATTCACATGGTACCTGAACCACTTTTTCAGCTCCTTCAACAAGATTGAAATGCTTGTCCCACAGATCCAGTCTTTTCTTAGACAGAAAATCATCCCCTACATCTGACAAAGAGATGTCTGTTGTTATGTCTCTGAATTGAGAGCCCAACTGATCTGGAAGTGGAACATTAGGAACAGTAACTGTCGTATGGAAAATAGGTAGTTGGAAGCCAGGTGGAGGCCCAAAACTGGTACCTTCAGAGCTGTCAGAAGCAGCAAGACCATGTAGAACGTGCAAACTTGCATCGGAAAAGGAGGTGTATGATTGTCTCATCATGAGTAAAAAACAACACTTCTTACTCCCTTGCCAGTTGCGCCGTGCGAGGTTGTCTTTGGTTAGCACAATTCCCCTATGAAGATACCACATGAAGATTTTGACCTTTAGTGGAATCTTTGACTTCCATAGTTTCTTATTATTTTCCACTGGTACCTCAGAATGTGTGAATGCACAGTGCATGTAGTCTACTGTGAAAGACCCTGATGTAGTAAGGTTCCAGCAAAACAAATCCCGGCCTTGTGTCAGGTTAATCGAATCCATCCTGGACAATAGATTATGCCATGACGTAAGTCGGGGCCCAATCAAATCCCGTCTGAATGACATATTCGGCGGGGATGAACTCAACACCTGCGCAAGAGTATTATTCTTCTCACAAGCAATGATTTATAAGGTTGGATATTGTCCTCGGAGACTGGCATTGCCTAGCCAGATGTCTTCCCAGAAACGAACCTCTGACCCATCCTTTATTGCGAAAGACCCAAAGCGAAAGAGATATTTCTTTGCCGCCATTAGGCTAGCCCAAAGTGAGAGTCTCCATGTTTCTAATATGCCTGAGACGCCGCCTTTTGGCCTAAATACTTGTTGCGCATGATGGTTTACCAAAGACCATCCTCAGTAAGTAGTTTGAACAACCATTTACTAAGTATGGCCTCATTCTTGACCTGTAGGTCATGAATTCCAAGGCCACCTTGGTCTTTCGGCCTACAAACCACAATCCATTTGGCCAGTCTATATTTTTTCTTTTCCCTTCTCCTTGCCAAAAGAATCTGGATCTAAAATAGTTCAATCTTTGCAAGACTCCTTTTGGTAGTTGGAAGAAAGAAAGCATATAGCGAAGCAAATTTGTGAGGACGGAAATAATCAAAACCAGTCGTCACCCAACCGAGAGCAGCTTTCTTTTCCAACCGCTCAACCGTTTCTCTAGACGCTCCTCTACATGCTTCCACTTCGCAATAGTGAGACACCGATAGTGAACCGGTATTCCCAAATACCTAATCGGGAATTGGCCATGTGTGCAACCAAATATGTCAGCATATTCGGCCGCCGACTCAACGGCTGCTCCGAAGCAGAACATTTCGCTTTTATGGAAGTTACTTTTAAGACCTGGCTTTGCTCAAGCGCCGAAAGCAATAGCTTCAGATTTCGAGCTTTGCCAGGTCATGTTCCATAAAAAGAATTGTGTCATCGGCATATTGCAGAATAGAGATGCCACCATCCATAAGGTGTGGCACTACTCCTGCAATCTGGCCACCCTACTTGGCGTGCTCAATCAGAATACCCAACATATCAGCAACAATGTTAAATAACATATGAAGTCACCCTGCCGCAGTCCTTTTTTTGTCTGAAAGTAACTGCCTCCAGCATCATTGACTTTAATGGTCACACTACCTCCAGTTACAAAGTTGTGGATCCACTGGCGCCATTCATCGTCGACATGTAGCTAGTCGATTTTTTACTCTTCTAATGTTTTTTGAGGAATCGGTTAGAGATATTGTAAGCCTCTAACTATCCGCAAATCATTGCTAAAACCATCCCATTTCTGCCGCGAAAACTCAAGGTTCCTTGCAATGACACACTAAGTGAGAACGCATTGTATAGAGGCTATGGTTGGCGTGCCTTAGCGTATGAAGTAGGCGCTTTCGACTTGAAGCAACAAGTCACCATTGGAAATTCTGTAGAGATATCATTAGATATACAGCCTGCTCAAACTAATCATCGTTCAGGCACATGGTGCCACAGAAGGTTATTCCCTTGGTGCATATTATATCCTCTGGCAGTTTATCGGATAATTGCCTTCCATGCATCCGCTGAAACTTGTTCAGACACAGATGGTAGATTCATGGCATGTTACGCTGGACGCCAATCATGGACGATTGAACGGCCTCGACGACATCTATTTCCTTCCCCCTTTTTTCTGCATTGACTTGTTCGTTTAGCCGCGTTTGAATCAGATGATAACTGAGGCGGTTGTATTGAGATGGTAGTTAGCACATGCCTCTGCACATAGATAACAGGTTGTCACACGTCGACATGCACCCAAGACTACGTAACCGGCCGGCCGGCATATGTATAAATACAGGGATTGCGAGGACAAATACACGTCATCCGTTCATTCCCTAGTACTGATACATTCTTGTCCGTAGCCACTTAATTGGAGCTTAGTTCGATCGTGCAACTGGTTAAGGTCCATGGCGGTCAGGTATTTGCTGCTCCCTCTGGCCCTGCTGGCTCTCGCAGCTACCTCCGCTGCGGTGGCTCAGCTGGAGATCGGCTTCTACAGCAAGACATGCCCAGACGCCGAGAAGATCGTCCGCGAGGAGATGGCCAAGATCATAGCCGCCGCGCCCAGCCTGGCCGGCCCACTCCTCCGGCTTCATTTCCACGACTGCTTTGTCAGGGTACGTAACTTGCCCAGCCTGTTCTCGTATTTCTGCTGCCATTGATCCTGAAATGTATGCTTACATGTTCGTGGATGCAACGCAAATTAAATTGCAGGGTTGTGACGCCTCTGTCCTACTCGAATCCACCGAAGGTAACGTGGCGGAGAAGGACGCCAAGCCGAACAAGAGCCTGCGAGGGTTCGGCTCCGTGGAGCGGGTGAAGGCCAAACTCGAGGCCGCGTGCCCGGGCATCGTCTCCTGCGCCGACGTGCTCACCCTCATGTCCCGCGACGCCGTCGTTCTGGCCAAGGGCCCCTTCTGGCCGGTGGCTTTGGGAAGGAGAGACGGAAGGGTGTCCAGTGACACGGAGGCCAGCGACGAGCTGCCCCCGGCCTCCGGCGACGTCCCTCTGCTCGCCAAGATCTTCGCCTCCAAGGGCCTCGACCTCAAGGACCTCGTCGTGCTCTCCGGCGCCCACACGCTCGGCACGGCGCACTGCCCGTCCTTCGCCGACCGGCTCTACAACAGCACCGGCGAGAACGGTGCGTATGGCCTCGTCGACCCGTCTCTGGACAGCGAGTACGCCGACAAGCTGAGGCTGAAGTGCAAGAGCGTTGATGACCGCGCTATGCTGTCTGAGATGGACCCCGGGAGCTACAAGACCTTCGACACCAGCTACTATCGCCACGTCGCCAAGCGGAGGGGCCTCTTCCGCTCCGATGCGGCTCTCCTCTTCGACGACACCACCAGGGACTACGTCCAGCGCATCGCCACCGGCAAGTTCGACGGCGAGTTCTTTAAGGACTTCAGCGCGTCCATGATCAAGATGGGGGACGTGGGCGTGCTCACCAGGGCCGAGGGAGAGATCAGGAAGAAGTGCTACGCCCCCAACTAGCGTCCGTTAATTCTTAGTTGCTGTAAGTAAATGCACGAGATGGTGCATGCATCATCTGATATTATCGACTGCAGTGTGATGTATTATTTTCAGTGGTATATAAAGCAAATTATTTGTTCACAAGAGTCCATGGGTGCGGCTGCATGCATGCTACGTAAATGCCTGTAATGGCTGTAGTGTTGCATGGTCTTATTGCGTGACGGGATGTGGAGTTCCCGGAGAGGAAACTTAGGCCCTGTTCGGCAGCTCTCCAGCTCCGTATAATACGGGGAGCGGACGGAGCGCCAGTTTTCCAACTCCAGGAAAATGCACTGCGGGCCGCTCCGCTCCGGCCGCTCCAGGAGCAGAGCCGCGGAGCGGAGGGCTGCCGAACACGGCCTTAATCCTGGAACTACGGGTTCCGGTTGCCTGATTGTTCGATTAGCTCTATGTGAATCACTACCGGAACAGGGCTCTAAGCCGACAGCCAAATATATGCCGACGGCTACCGTCGGCCTAGACCGAGCTATGCCGACAGCTAGCTCCTGGCCGTCGGCGTACAAAGGCCGTCGGGCTACCAGCGTCCATGCCGACAGCAGCCGTCGGCAAATCAGAGCCGTCGGCTTATCCCAGGCTACGCCTACAGCTGTCGTCGGCATATATAGGCCGTCGGCATAGATGCGGGCCCGCTGACAACTGCCATCACGGCCGGCTAACGACGTCAAATCTATGCCGACGGCCGTGACGGGTGGCCGACGGCATAGATACGGGTGACACGTCACCGATCCAGAGCGCACCGACCAGGAGCTATGCCGACGGCAGCCGTCGGCATAGCTAACACATCATCGATCCGCGTCGCTGTCCATCTACCCTGGCCGCACCTATGCCGACGGCTTTTTTTTCTTTTTTTTCTTTTTTTCCATGTAATATTATTATTATTATTATTAAACATACAGTATGTGTTAATAAGCATACATATAGATTGTGTTAATAAGCATACATATAGATTGTGTTAATAAGCATATAGTATGTGTTAATAAGCATACATATAGTTTTTTTTCTTTTTCTTCACTGTTTTCTTTAATATTATTATTTAACTAACTTACATACAGTATGTGTTAATAAGCATACATACATTATTATTCGGTTCTGTACAGAGCGGTGTGACCCCCCTCACGAACGGTGCCGCCGCCAGCCGGCAACTGGAATGGGGAACAGCCACATCGGGTCTATACGAAGGGGACTTTGCTCGAAGTGTTTATATATATCGGATGACCTACCACAACCGGATGGTGTTATGGCATGTCCGAACAGGCGGCATGCATCTCCGGGGTGTGGCCCCATCACGGACGGCGCCGCCGCCGGCACCTGGAGGGGGGGAATGGACGCGTCGGGGTCTACATGGAGTGGATGTATCTGTGGGTTTGGCCCGGATTTTGCTCCCGGGTGTCCCTATGGGCGGACCTGACACAACCGGGTGGAGAGGTCCACTGGTCAAAGCCTGTCCGTGGGAAGTCAAAGGGCTAGATCTCGTGGTCAACCGCTCCCGGGTTAGGCGGGACGGGGGCCCCCTGGGGGTAGCAATGCCACCGGAGCGTCGTACCGTGCCCTCATACATGCG